ATTTTCAATAATTTTTGGAGATTAAACTATTGTTATTTATTAGAGATGAGACTATTAATTTAGTTAAAATTATGAGTGGTCATGAGTTTGTTTGATTCAATCGTAGGCTCTTTGGCCAACCAAATTGACATGGTCAGGTTGGGGAGTTGGTCAACTAAAACAAAATGACCTTTTGTGAAAACAACCCACTCAAATTGTATCAATTTAAGTTGATTTTTTTGTTTGGTTAATCAGTTCAAAAGACTAAAACTTAAAAATTAAATTAAATTTTAAAAATTACAATGCAATTATTAAAAATAAATTTAAAAATTAGATTTATTTTAAAATATAAAATATTATTATATTTCCATAGTTAGGTTGTTCAATTTTGGTCGGTTTACAAATGGTCAAAGTGAAACTGATCCAACTTGGTCGAATTGGGAAATTTTTTAACCAAAGCCAACCTAAAATACTAAAAAACCAACCAACTCGGGTTGAGTTGATCGGGTTGGTCGATTTCATCAGTTTGATGAATAAACCTAACTAAAATTAATTATTGTTATTTTTGTATCATAAAAAATTCATTAAAAATAGTATATAAAATATGAATAATTATTAATTATTTAAAAAGTTGAAAATATAAAACAAATACTCTTATGTGTTTTTATTAGGGTCATTTACTAAAACACACTTTATAATTTTACATATTTACTTAAACCTACCTTATAGTTTTCATTTTACTAAAGCATCCCATATATTTTACAACTTATTAACTTAATCAGCCTTTCATTAATGAATCTTTGTTTTGCTAGTAGGCCCATGATTTTTTATTCCAAAAATAACCTTATCTCTTTTTTTGTATAAAAAAACAAAATTGACCAAACATAGCCAATAGAGTGGTTGCCTATGTCTTATTAAGGGCAAAAGTGGTATTTTTTATTTTCTTTTGATTAAATTTATTTAAATGAACATTAAGGTCAACATTGTCATTTTTCATTATCATCTAATGGAAGATTGATTAAATCCATTGCAAGTTATAAGTGGTATTTTAGTAAAATGCTAACTATAAGGTAGATTTTAGTAAGTCTGTTAAACCACAAGGGGTATGTTAGTAAAATTTAATTTTTAAGTTTAAATCTTTTGAACCAACTGACCAAACCAAAAATATAGACCCAAACCAATACAACTTGAGTGGGTCGGTTTTCACAAAAGATCACTCAGTTTCAACTAACCAACTCCCCAACCTAACTAGATCATGACCGAACCGAACCAACTCATGAACACTCATAATTTCAACTAGATTAATAGTCTCATCTCTAATAAATAACAATAGTTTAATCTCCAATAATTATTGAAAATTTATAACGAAAATGCACAATTATTGAAAATATATTGATAATGAAAAAAATACAATAATTACAAAAATACAATAAGTACTAAAAATATAATAACTTAATAAATAGTATAATCTCAAATAATAGTTTAATCCCTAATAAATATTAATCAACAAGTTATAACAAAAATACAATAAATACAATAAGTATAATAAATTAAATTTAAAATTTTCATTAATAGTAGTTTAATCTCCAATAATTATTGAAAGTTTTATGTTAAATAACAAAACAAAATAAATTTATACATAATCATTGAAAATACATTGAAATTTTTTAAATTTATTAGAGATAAATTTATTTTCAATGATTATGTATAAATTTATTTTGTTTTGTTATTTAATAGAAAACTTTCAATAATTATTGGAGATTAAACTACTATTATTGAAATTTTTAAATTTAATTTGTTGTACTTATTGTATTTATTGTATTTTTGTTATAACTCATTGATTAATATTTATTAGAGATTAAACTATTATTTGATATTATACTATTTATTGACTAAGTTAATATATTTTTAGTACTTATTGTAATTATTGTATTTTTCCATTATCAATATATTTTCAATAATTGTGTATTTTTGCTATAAATTTTCAATAATTATTGGAGATTAAACTATTGTTATTTATTGGAGATGAAACTATTAATTTAGTTAAAATTATGAGCGTTCATGAGTTGGTTCGGTTTGGTCATAGACTATTTGGCCAACCAAATTGACCTTGTCAGGTTGGGGAGTTTGAAAGCTGAAACCGACTGACCTTTTGTGAAAACCGACCCACTTAAGTTGTATCGGTTTAGGTCAATTTTTTGGATCGGTCAGTCAGTTCAAAAGGTTTAAACTTAAAAATTAAATTTAAATTTAAAAATTATAATGCAATTATTAAAAAATAAATTTAAAAATTAGATTTTAATATATAAAACATTTTAGACTAAGAAATATGGGAAATTTCCTACTTTTCTATATTAAAAATTATATTTAAAATATAAAATATTAATATATATCCATGGTTAGGTCGTTCAATTTTGGTTGTTTACAAATGGCCAAAGTGAAATTGATCCAACTTGGTCGAATTGTTTTTCTAAAAGCCCTTTATTCTGTAGTTTGAAGAGGGCAGCCTTGTAATGTCTTGAGTTGTGAAGTAGGTGCTCCTCAATGTGTGGTGATTTTGTAGTGGTTCGTGGTGTGGTGACACCTTGTCGTAAGTGTGTAATCTTTCCCAAGTGTTTCTAAAGTAGTGGGTTGATGATTTTTTGTGTTTTTCCTAAAGAAAAAGGTGTGTTATAGTAGTTGCGTACCAACTATTTGGCAGTTTGCCCAGGTGACAAATCAGTGGTATCTTCTCACTCATGCTTCATCAAATAGTAGCACTAAACCTATAATAGTTGTGCAATCAGATTTCATGACTTCTCAATTAACTACGGTGAAACTCAATGGTACTAATTATACCCCATGGGCCAAGTCGGTTGAGGTATCTCTCATTGCAAGAGGCAAGTTGAAATACATCAAGGAGGGCCCATTGAAAAGAGAATAAGAAGGGTATAATGAATAGGTACAAGAGAATGCCCAAATTATGACATCCCTTTGGAATAGTATGGAGAATCACATTGATGTGAACCTTATGTTTTTAGACACGACCAAGAAGATTTGGGACCATGCTAGGCAATTGTATTCTAGACAAGACAATGTCACAAGAATTTATCAGTTATACCAAGATTATTTTTCTCTTCATCAAAAGGTTAAAAATGTTGAAGAATACTATGTTTATCTAAAAAGCTTAAGGAGTGTGCTCAATATTTACCAACCCCTATCCACTGATTTCAAGACCCAATAAGAACAAAGAAAACATCTAGATGTGGCAAGATTTTTATCTGTGCTGAATTCTAAATTTGAACTTGTGCGGGCCCAACTCTTAGGGAATAGTGATCTTCCATCATTGTCTGAGGTTTTCTCCCGCATAAGGAGAGCCTCAAATCCACATAGTGATCATCCCCCACCTTTAGAGAGATCAGCCATGGTGGTTTCCAGAGGAAGCTTTTGAGGTAGGAATATGCATGGAAGAAGTGGAGTTATTGTGAGGGGTTTTGGCCATGGGCCCAGAGGTGCATGAAGAGGTGGTAGAGAGGTTGGTGGTGGTCATAGTGGTAGCGGTAGTGGTCGTGGTTTAGCTCATGAAAGCTCACATTGTGGGCGATAAGGTCACACAATCAA